CAAAACGTTCCCAGATCGTCAAGGAATGTGGAGTCGAGGGCTGGCCTGTTGCTGGTTCGCAAGTTCCGGTAAGAATTCCGTATAACCCCATACAGTCATTATGTATGCAGCAGTGTCATACTATATTTTCACACAACAAGTTTATAAGAAAAGAGTGCTAACATGCATGCATAACAAATGTATGGGGTTATACGGAAATCTTACCCAAGTTCCTTCAGAAGATCCCTGGAGAATTTCCCCGAATAGATAAGGAATAGAGCAGTCAATGTTTTTTTACGCCCGATAAAGCCACGAGGTGTATAACTGAGTGCAACAATGAAGGCAGGCTTACCTTCCGTCCGGACGAATGTAAAAACGTGAATTCTGCTACCTGTGCTACCCGCATCAAACATAATTCCATAAATAGTTGATGTTGATTGCGATCCTGGTACCAAATATAATGTCTTTAAAATATTCTCACCATAAAATAGAGTCAAAAACAACGTAAATGCCACAGAGAGGAACAATGTCACCGCGCGACAACGAATGCTATAGATTTTGCCACATGGAAAACAAGTCATTGTTAACTTTTTCTTCGATGTCTGACTTGCAAAAAGGTGCAGTTTAGGCTTGATGACTGAGTGCATACAACCAAATAAATAAGACGAGTAGATGATCGCGAACGCGCCCTTGTTTTTTGACAATCTTTCCATCCACGTATTACATGTATCTCCTATGATGGTGCCGGCCTGTGCAATGTAACCAGGCCACTCGCGAGGAACCTGAAACATCGCGCGAGAACGGTGGTATTCCTACTGATCAGCTGACAAATACACTGTACAATTCTGAAACTAAAGGTACCCCCCACCCCCGAAAAAACAGCTAACTTTTTACCTTCCTATTAAAGGAACTGTGTCACGAAATTCAGCCAAATTAGGAAATTACAAAGTGCCCGTTAAATTAAGAGAAACATAAAAATAACCGCTTAAAGCATATTTTAAGGAAGGTTAAAATAACACAACAGAAACAACAGATGCCACGGATGGGCAAAACTGAAGAAGATTGAAACGGATTGAAATTAGGGTTTTTGAAAACTGTTTAACCTAACAGTCTTTCAGAGTTGATCCCTGCTGCTTGCAACTTCAAAAATAATGCTCAGGAGACATATTTGTTTGTCTCAGTTCTCTGATTTTGTCATTTACATGTAATTTCTTTGCTTAAAGTTCCATAGCGATTGAGGGCAAGTAATTGGCAACATTAAACAAAATGAACTCTACTGCCATGACACAGCCCCTTTAAATCCCAAAAGTAACGGCCTACCCAAAAGTAGCAGCCCTTCGTAAATTATCACTCAACTACACGTAAATAAAGTGTACAGACTCTCACTAATGAGGACACTAACTTAAGGTCCCCACAGTGACAATTATAAAGGACGTTGACTGTAATAATTTTCGCTATATAGAAAAAATATTGTAAATATTCCTGAAACCTCGAGCCTGTTTGTTTCTCTAGGCTATAGTCTTTTACTAAAGGTATTTCAAATTACCCCGAACTTGCAAAAAAATATTCAGGATGTCAATATTCTCGGTGACCCATTTATATCGGTGCAGTTTAAAACTTATTGCATCATTCCACCTTTCACACATACACTGTTTACAGGTAGCCATTATGATACCTGAAGGATGATGATGAGGTTATCCCTAGAATAAGATCTCTCCTTACAGATAGCCCACCCAACAGTTTTTTAAGGCAGTAACGGAACAAGAGACTTTGACTTGGGAAAAAGATAATTTTAATGAAATTCACTTCTCCCAAAGGCGAGACCCGCATTTCCCTTTTTGTCCGATCATCCACTCTGGACTACTTTGATCCCCTGTAATCGGCAGAAAACCTATTTACAAGTACCTCATTGGTACTTAGGGCCTGTTTACAAGGAGAGAGGGTTACCCTTGTGCTACGGTTACCCTAGCAAGCATGTTAAAGTTAGCTCTGGTTTACAAGCAAATTTCACAGGTGGGGTTACCCTATCCCCTCAGGTCAACTTCACCAGCTTTACTGATGCGTTTTGCCCAGATATTGGATTAACTCCGTTCAAATTGTCAAGATTACTGGTCATGCATGGCAGAGGAAAGTTGCTCCGGGTAAGCGAGTTATCCCTAGCAGAGGGTTTAAAAGGTAGGTAGGGTGACCCTCTTGCTAGGGTAACCCTAGCACTCAGGTAGGGTTAACCTAGCACTAGGGTGACCCTACCTACATTGTAAACACATCGTGTACAAAAAAAAGAAATGTGCAAGTGCTGGGGCAACCTTCTTGCTAGGGTAACCCTAGCACCATGGTTACCCTCCCTCCTTGTTAACAGGGCCTCAATTTCGTATATTTCATGATTATAAAAACATTGTGACATTTCAGACCTGTGAATAAAAAGCTGTGCAAAACTTTAACTCACGAAATTTGGTACCCATAAAGAAATTCAAAGCACAGAAAAATAATATTGATTACATGTTATAACAACAACATATACAATGATACCCACATTACCTGACCCCCGTAGTGAAATAAGGTTCACCTGCAAAGATTTCATATAAGGAGTAGAGAATCTAGCTATCATCTTCCAGTCTGAATCATTAGATTCATGCAAAAAATAATAATTACATGTTTTCTCATTTTCTTGACAAGCATCGACATTCTTTTCATTAGGAAGTTCCCCCTCCTTTGGGAAATGTGGTCAGGAAATGGCCAAATCTATATTAGACACAAAATTATATTAGACAAAAATTTGTCTAGGAATAGGATGAATAAATATTATCCGTCCACGATGGATAAATCATCTAGATAGAAATTTGGTTCAAATTTTGGGCCCATTGAAATTTGTCTGCACTTGATTCGTCTGATGTGCTGACAAATTTGGGGTCAAAACTGGTCTAAATACCGGATTTATATCTAGAAGATTTATCCATCTCAGGCCAATATTTCTTCTTAGATGGATAATTCATCCATAAATTCGGCCAATTGCAGAAGTCACACTAAACTAATTGGATGACTTTGGCTTATGTTATCAAACACAAACAAAACACTACCCACTTCAAATCAGAACAATGCTTTAATACAGCATTTTATAAATTGTTACAAAGCATTCTGACAGTTCATTGTGGTGGAAATCTTCTCATTACTGCACCATATCTTCACTGCATTGCTTAATGGAACTGTAGATATAAAAAAATAATTAATGCAGTTACAGATCAAGTTATTTTTATGAAAACATGGATAGCTACAACTTGGCTTTCTTTTTGCAATTGATTTAGTTTCTAGTGAATGGTAGGCCACTCAGAAAGTATGTTAATTAGTTAATTTAGGCGATAAAGCAATTTCTTAATTATTTTGAAGGAAATAGCATCATGAAATCAATAATCAATGGCTTAATGAGCCATTATACAAGAAATCTCAGTGTATTATAAAAAATTTTGACAAATTGGCCATCGAAGAGTGAAACGAGAGTGAATCCACACCGGTTTCCACCGTTTTTCAGAAATTGGTCAGATTTTGCATAATAAATGATATTATTCTAATAAAAAAATTTCCTGACTTGAAATCTGGAAAATGGTTTGGACAAATGTTTTTTAGAATTCTTCCAATTTCCGGGCATTTCCGGGCATTAGAACTGGCCAATATCCTGTCTGAATGACCCAGAAAGATACTAGGAAAGGGGACTTTCCTAGGTGAAAGGGGAGTTATGATAAACAAAAGTTCCCAGGGGAGAATGTCCCCTGATCCGCCGCCTTCATCGCTTGTTAAGGAAATCGGTCAGTATTAATTATCCTAGCTCTGTGCCTGAGAAAGTTTAATGACATTAGCTTCCAGGGGTCTCCTGTGGCTCATCAGTAGAGTATACTAGACTAGTAACCAGAAAGTCATAGGTTTTACTCCTGTTGGGAGTACTCGGACTTTTTTTCGAAGTTGCCTATCTCCCTAACCGAAAAAAATTTCTTTCTAATGAAGGAACACATCTGTAAATGATATGTAGCTATGATTTACACAGGTATATATTATGAACAAGCTTTTAGCTCAACTCAACTCTTTAACACTTTTTTCCATTTTTTAGTCAAGCTTGCTTTAGCAGCAAGACTGTCAAAATGCAAACATTTCTTTTTTTTTTCATGTGTGTGCGCCAAAAGGGGGCCCAGCAGAGACCATGGAAACTGGGGATAAATATTGCAACATGACCTACAACATATTTAAAAGATGTTGAGCTTTTCCAGAACAGGTCAGTCTACAAATTCTATTGCTTGAAAGCACTGTTTACTTTGGAACAAGTGAATACTTCAGTGATCAAAAACAAAAAAGAATCTCTATGAGCAGAAGTTCAGCAAAACTTGAGGCTAATTTCTCTCAAATAAAGGCCCTTGATTTTGTGTATTTAATCCATCCTCGGAGACCCAGGGCCAGATAAAGGGGCGAGGGAAAGTCTAAACGGGCGGAAAAATATATATGGAACAAAGAAAAGTAAAGAATGGCGAGAAGAGCCCCTGGGGACAATGTCTTACCAGACCAGTTCCAAACGGTCGCCGCCGTTCTGGCTTCTGGTTGGTGCCAGAAAACTTGTGTTTTTCTGGCACCAATCAGAAACCAGAGCGGCAGCAACCGTTTGGAACTGGACTGGTAAGACATTGTCCCCAGGGGCTCTTCTCGCCGTTCTTTACTTTTCTTCGCGCCACATTTTTCCCCCCGTTTAGACTTTCCCTCGTCCCCACTATCTGCCCCTGGGTCTCCGAGGATGGTATTTAATCATGCACACTCAATCAACTCAGAAACAAATCATCAAATACAATATAAAAAGTAAATATCCTGAAGAATACTCAACCGTTGATAAAGTAAAAAGTGAGAAACTTTTAATGCGGAAATCCTGTTTTGTGTAGAATTGATTGCCCTCTAATTTCTTATCTAATCTCCAAGCAACAAGCTTGGCCTGACGCTTTTTTAAGGGCATTTTTGTCTTTCTTGGTAGACTGCACAAAAAGTAAGGTATTTTTACTAACCTTTTGGAAGCCAATATCTTTGGCATACTGTCTGAAGCATCTTCGACAAATGTTTAAACCATATTTTCTGATAATTCCATGGTGATTGAAACATACACGGCTATGAAAAAATAAGGACTAGACATCAGTAACTATGTTGACAGTGTATATAGTTGCAAGAAATAAAATGTTGACATGAAAAAATCCTTACAATTTATTAGCTGAAACAAGATATAAGTAGCTGTATTACCAAAATTTCTTCAATATGAATGAAGGAAGCCAGGCAGAAGTCTACTGATAGCTTAACAAAGCTAAATCTTTTAATAAGTATTGAGAGTATTGCAAAGGTCAAATTTATTTGTTGAAAGAAATACGATTTTATGACATTAACAAGGCTTCCCATATTTTCTATTTAAAGTTACTGACCAACACATATATTAAAACCGTCCTAACCGCGAGGAAAGTAAACTGTAAGCCGACAGTTTTAAGCTATCCGTTCCAAAACCACGTGTCCGCCATCTTGAATTGTCGTCGTGCTGAGCGCCGAGTTCTTTGCTCGCCAAATAAACGTTTATCAAAAGTAAATCCTTATTAATTTGGCAAGAAATAACGAGAAACGAATTAAGTGGGCTATGAAGACAATCTTACCAGGATCTTGATCCTGGTCCATAGGTTCTTGGGTGTGAAAACCAAACGTTCGAATGAGGCATGTTGGAATAATCCGCCACAAAAGAGAAAGAAGCGTGTGCAACATGCGACCACATGGGACGCTGGGAAGTGTAGAAATAACCTTGTGGGGTAGGGTGAGGAATGCTTGACCACTGCAGAAAAGATTTTAGCAACATGAGATTTGTATTCCTTTAAGATAAAAGAAGTAGTTGTTAATCAAAAGCAAAATAGGTTTTGAATTGTAACGACTTTCCAGTTCATTAGATCCCCTGAAGAAGGACGGCTTGTCCGTCAGAAATATCGCGAAACTTCAAGTCTTCGCTTTTCTCTTTGCTTTTTTGTTATTTATGTCTATATTTTTGTCTCCGAAAATGGCTACGAGCTGAGGGCGCTAAAAGATATGTATTTTAGCTCAAACAGCCGAATATTGCAGTTGGGTTCAGATCATGTGTCAGATTTTAACTCTGGTGGTCTGAATAGAGTTCGGGTCGGCGGAGGTCTAGAAATAGGAATTAGTTCACGAGGACGCAAAAACGAGAAGTCCAAAGAACGTGACTGCAAAGCTGATCAGAACAACGTGTATTGTTTTTTCATGATAATATTTCGGCTGGCCACACCAGCCTTTTTCAAGTTTACAGATGTTACTGAATTTATGGAAGGAATCACAATATTATATAGAGTGGAGAACGCCACAATAAAAATCACGAAGACGCCACTTTTTACCTTAGATTCATCTCAACTATACAACTAAAAAGTAGTACAAAACCGAAGGGAGGTGGGTGGGAGCACTCCATAAAAGTTTTGTACGGAGCCGGAGAGGCTCTGCTCCAAGGTCCAACCTGTTACCTTATTATACAGACCATTTTTAACAGAAAAGGTACCCCTTTCACGGCTCAGCCCTTTTCACATTCTAGTTTAGATCACTGTATCTCTTTTAGTTGTTGTAAATTCCCCGTCTTTTAAATATGATTAAATCACTAAACCGAGAAAGTTTTCTCGTCCTCTTCACAGCCATAAAATGCGCCTATTAGCCCTTTCAGATCCTTTCACAGACCACAATGACAAATTCCCTCCCCCTTTCGTGCCCGGGGGGGGGGGTACTTGGGTTAATGTTTGCTGGGTATGTGCCGCTGGCTTGTCAGAGCCCCTACCCCATTATAGCCTATTTTGTGGCCAAATAAAGACTCCATCTTACTCACTTTTTGGAAAATGTAATTTTCGCGATCCCAACTTAGTCACTTTCTATTTATGCATCTACCTTATCGATGTGGTTTCAAGCGACGGAATGTAATTTAATAAACAACAACTTTCTGATTTTTTAACCGAGAATCTTCCCATTTTGAATCGGCCTACTTATCCCAAAAATCTGAAAAATTTGCGACCCCATTCTAGTAAATCTATTGAAAATGCGATCCCATTATAGTCAATCCAGTCGTGAAAATGCGACCTCATCCAGCGGCACATCCCTTTCCGCCTCTTGTAAGGGAGTACCCCCCCCGGGGGGCTTTCGTGTACTGCAACTGGTGAAACCCCTACCGTTTATATACGTTAAGCCTGAAAAAGGCACCCCTTTGGCGGAAACTCCCCGTATTGGCCATTATAGAGTATCCTCCCAAAGCCGAAAGCCAAAGAGTTCGTGGGTAGATTGGATCGTTTATAAGCTAGGGTGTAAGTGCATCATGGGACTGGTTCAAAATAGGACCTACCTGAAAAATAAGAGGTTCCTGAATAGTTTGCTCTGAATTTAGGTAAAGCTTTTAGAGGACATGCCGGTTGATCAAAATGCATCATAGCGACCTGAAATTGTATACGAAAGTCCCAGAAACCATACCTTGTTCAGCGGCACATCTCCTTATAGGCAAAGTAAGAGATTCCCCACTCCCCCACCCCCCCACCACCTTTCCCACAGCCTTATCCTGGGAAATAGATCGTAATTTGCCATGAATAATCAATACCGAAGGTTAACTGAAAAAAGAAAACTGCATGTTAAGTCGTTCACATGCTTATCCACCGTTTAAGACAGGACGAAAAAAAACATTCCAAAGATCTTTCGCTGGACGCTAATCAAAACTGCAGGTGACCGTATCATTGTTTTGTCGTTAAAACATCATCGCCTCTTCTTTTGCGTACTTAGGGTCTTCAATAGCGTCAGTAAAACCATGAGACTATTTGAATAAAAAACTTGCCTACGATGGGCCTTAAGAAGGTTCGTAGAGGCGATAAAAACATTGCAAAAAATAAAACGTAATGCTGTACCATTCAAATTCACAAAGGTTGAATAAAACTGGTAATTATTTTTCATAATGTTTCAGATCCTAGCGCGCTCTGTGTGAATCCTCAATTGTATGCGGTCTCCATGGCGATGATTGAAACACTCAAGTTATCAATGCGTCAATAACTTGTACTGCGTTCTTTAGAATAACAACGTTATCAGGGGTTTTGTTACGGTAACCGACAAATAGCGCCAAAAAAAAAAAAAGTGTCATGTTTTAGCCTCGGTTGCCATGGATACACCAATGAGAGCGACTTTTGTAATGTCCTCCTTCAAATATATTGTCTCAGAAATTACTGATTCTCACATAATCAACACGAACTAGATTTGTGTGGTCAAAGAGGCCTTTTCCTTCCATTTTCGATCTTAAAAGCCAAGCCAGATCAAGGTAAGAGAACCAGACTATTTGATGTTACTTTTTACACTTCTAGAAAGGGTTAGCTTTCAAGGTTTTGAAAGAGAATCACAGAATCCCAATCGAGGCTAGAAAATGTGGTTTTGTGGCCGTCATAGCCTTAGATTTCCTTTCATAATTTGATTCAAATTACGGTTCGTGAACTATTTCCAGTTTTCCGTCAAAGATGACAGTCTCATGTACTTCACAAGTGAACGTTTCGGTCTTTTTAGTATTTCTCTACATCAACTATTTTACCAACAATTAAATTGCCACCTAGATGAACTGAGTTGACCTTTTTATCTACAGGGATATTTAATTGCTTGTAAAACATTATTCTAAAATAAAAAAATTCAATATAAATACAGGCTACGGGAATGGCATACGCGGACTAAAATGTCACTTAAATCAATACAAATCGCGTTAGATAAACTTCCTTGTTTGCCAATATGAAATTAAACTAGATGTGCAAACGAAATTCTGCGGCGCGACTCCTTTAACGTTAACGATGCAAAGTTTTGAGAGAATCTCAGAATGAATTCATTAAATATTTGATTTCTTTCAATGACGGCCTTCCGCGAAAAAAACCTGAAAGTGTGTAGTAAGGCTGAGAAAACTGCCTAGAATATTCGCGTTTCTGAAATTAAAGTGTGCATGACATTTTTTAGAAGGCCCTTCGCAATTTGGCAAAGACCGCCATTAAAAAAGATCTGAGGCTTTGTGGTAAGCTTATATTCAGCTCGTCTAGGGCACGAATTTTAAATAACGTTTGTGAAATAAAAATTGCATTTGGTGGACGCAGCACGTAGAAGCTCTTTATTTCAGTTTTCTGTTCTTTTCTAATATATATGTCTAATATATTAACGAACGAGCCACTGGTACATTAAAGTCTTTTCTAAGGTATAAACACACGAAGCACAGCATGTTTTTTGGATTTCAAAGCCGTCCTACTTTCTTCCGTTTAAACTAAAACTAAGTAGCGGAACAGGTGTATTTGAGAATACTACGTTATGCAAAACTGTGATCGTATGAATTATTTAAACACCTTAATTTTTGGCCCTAAAGGAACATTTAACTCTCTTGAATGTCAAGAGAATGGATTTAAAACTAGTTCCCTGAAACATAATTCAGTGAACTTGCAAAAATGAGTGACAAGTGTTCCGCCACGAGTCTGTCGCAACGATCATGTCTTTGCTGAATTGAGGTGTGTAACCATGGAAACAAACTTCGGAGCAAACATGCATACGTATTAAGCATACGTATAGACATAACACATAAAGAAGAAACCAGTTTACCTCTTCAAAAGATAGAATTAACCTTAAGAACTACAAATGCTACGTACGGCTTAACATAAAAAAGGAAATATAGCATTTCTTGACACTTTCAAGAAAATGGTTATATGCCAGCTGTGACTGAATTAATCCGTTAGCCTTCATTTCTAGCCTGTTTTTAGTGGAAATCTGTACTTTCTTCTGTATTTTGTTGCCTTGATTGAGTTTGTTGTCTAATCGACAACTTTATCCTTTAAATCACCTTTTTCAGACATTCACAGTAACTAGCGTTGTAATACTTAAAAAATATATTAAAGAACCACCTGTCTTCAAAGATAAAGTTAGGTCCTCCCGGCTCCTATTTTCTTCAATTCTATTGAAAAGACTGAAATACGTACTCGCTGTCAAAGTTTTAATTGGAGGTAGGCACAGGCTGTACACAAATCAAGCAATTTAGGTCCAGTTCTAACAATTTACAAGGTGGTTCGATTTTGCGAAGATGCATTTCCCTGTTCAGTAAAGCAATACTTTCCTGAGGTACGTTTTTATGCTGCACAAGGTGGTTCTAGCTTTTGAGTCTGTGGATGAAATCCTTTTGTGTGACCATTCAAATGAAAGCTACTGAACAGTACTTTCCTGTGGTGTCGTCTATTATTTTAGTACAGGGTGTGTCTTGCGCTTTATTCTGGTGTTTAAAACTTATGAAGTGACCCTGAAACGAAACTAATGCCACTGAGCAATACGTTTCTGTGGTACTGTTTGGTGACGTGTTAATTCTGCGGCAAAAATTACACACCATAGTGATAAGTGCACAGTGCCTGAATTTTAAAGGAATCAGCTATATTTTTTGGATCCTTGATTGAGAATTTTCCTAAATAACCTCTTTTACACCATGCTATTCTGTTCTTTTTGTCAAAAGAAATTTTTTTCTTTTTACTCTTCTTTCTGCAACTAATTGAAATCATGTCTGCCAACGTATTTTTAAACCCCTTAAAACTCGAAAAATATGTTGTTTATTTTGGGATATGAGATTATTCTAGGTATTAACTCTGTTTTGTATTATCTTTCTACCGTGAAAAGATGATGGCAGCTTATCGAGTGGTATGTCTTCTTCTGTTAATTCATTGGATCTACCAAGGATCGTCTTCATCATCCTCG